TTCCGCGTTATTGGTCATTTGGTTAGTCGGGGCTTTTTTTATTAATTAATTATATTAATAACTTTGCAATATTCAGTTTCTAATCACTGTAACGACATTTTACTAATTTTCTCGATGAATGCAAGATTAATTTTAGGCATAATTCGACTGGTAAATTTTATCTTCAACTTAGGCATTTTATCCTCACAACTACGTGCTTTCCGTTTATACTTTGGAGCTGAAACGAGAACACCGTGTGTACAAAAATTGCATACTTTTCAATTCCAAACGAATTTTATTTTATTTTACTTTCTAATTTTCCTCTGTCATCACTCAGAATTTTCTTCAACACATTACATCTCGATCATTTTGTTTTAACATTTCAAAATCTCTATTTTGTCTTCAGTTTTGACAAGTTCGAACAAGTTTCATTCTCATCCTCGCCAGTTTGACTCGATTCCAATTTTCTCTTGCAGAGTTCGGAAAACATATTGGATTTGCAAGAATCACAAATAGTTTGGCTTGGCGATTCGTCAAAACCAGCAGAAATAACGCTTCCGAAACACTTGCGCGCAGTGGCCGTCGTGGACGCACCGTTTGTGTATGCAGTCTCAGAAACCGAAATGGAAAGCTGTGCAGAACTTAGATCGCTTGTAATTGAGGACATTGATGTGGTAAACTCTGCCCCCTTGGCTATTCTGAAACTTAATTATTAAGGCACGACAAGCGCTGAATTTTTCATGGTATAATTAAAGGTCTTCGCAGAGCTGCGTTGTAAGTGTTCTAGGCCGGACCGTGGTACGACTGCCCAAAACGCATCAATAAAACTGTTGTCGAGAAGTACTGCTGTGCGGGATATGCACTCGATTTGCTCTCTAACTTATCTCTCCTAGAAGTAACATTTTATAAATTTATAACTAAATGTGCATGAACTAAAGTAAAAATACTGCAGATTAAACTGTATGTTCCTGTAAATTTAAAAATAATCCAGAGGCACATCATTAGCCTTCGAATAAAGATAGGTGCACCATATTGTGTTTTCAGTGCCATGGTGATACTTAAATGAGCCCCTTACCAGGTGTTTTTTCGTCGCCGCATTTTTCCTCGCTGTCATTGCAGCTGGCAGTTTCTCCATTCTTTCTCATTCTGAGCTCAACGCATTTCACAACACCAAACAGGTTTAGAAAACTAGTCTTCCCAGCTTGCAGCGAAAACCTTTTGAATGCTTGTGTGCGACTATAAGTTAAAAGCCGAACATCTCCATTTTCACTAAAAACAGAGCAAAGAGAGGCACTTAAAAGTAGTCTGAATGATAGCACAAGTAAGCAACAACGGATATGCTAGCTGTTGATGGCTTCCTCTTTCAACGTTTATTCAGAAATAAACTTTTGGCAGTGGCATTGCAAAATATATGTTAAATATATTTTACAACGTTACTACTATCACTGAAAAATGCATTTCAAATTATTGACCCTCGAAATGAACACATTTTCAGAT